GCTCTTTATATCTTGTTTAGTGGGTTGAAAAACAACATTGCTCAATCAAAAAGCGAGAGTTAATTGTTAAGTTAAGAGATCAGGGCAAGCTATATAAAGATATATAAAGAAATCATGATTGGTAGCACCGCTCCGATGATATTTAATGCTATTCATCACACTATTAAGCCCAAAACTCGTGGTGGTAAGCGCAAGAGTAAATTTCTAGAGGACCGGCGAATTGTGCGATACAKCAAAGCGAAGMSTTCGGCGTGGTCAAAAATAATTAAAAATAAAATGAATCTWATGGTCAGTGCTGTCACAGTTAGCCGAAGGCTAATAGAAGCTAATTTACATGCAAGGAGTCCGAGCAAGGTACCCCTTTTGACTAAGAAGCACGTCATTGCAAGAATAAAAATTCCGAAAGACCACATGTATTGGCCCGCTGAAAAGTGGCACAATATTTGGTCACTTAATGATAGAAATTTTTTACGGATAAGAGCAAAATTGCTTTGTTTGATGGTATAGGCTGCAGGTAGTGTGTTCGTTGTCCCCCAAACACAGAATACCACCCAAGGTACACCAAAAAKACAGTTAAGTATRGTCGGCTTGTTTGTCGYATGCTGGCGATGGATGAAAATATTAGACCATAGGAAACATATTAAATATGAAATATTTACTATTACTTTCATATTCTTAGTTGTATTGTCTTTTTTAATAGCCACTACTATTTTCATGAACAGCATAATTTTCCAATTTTATTTTAATTTAATAATTGTATGTAAACTAAAAAAAATTTTTTGGTAGATAAAATGTAAATATATCATACATTAATCAAAAAATAGTTTTTTTTATAACTTTCTGATCGAATATTGTTCTTATCATGTGATTTGACTCTTAAATAGTTAGAAGCCACCGGCACTATTATTTTCTTGAACACAGCTGCATATGTATTTATCACTGTTGAGTGCCTCAACTACTGAAAATATGCTTTAAGAATGGCTTTGCTGCTTCTGTATTTGAAATACCTGAAAAATGTAAATTTTTCCTTTAGTCCATGGTTATAGTTGTTTAAAAATGGTACACAGTTCACCCAGATTTCATATTTG